TAATTATAGTAATGATAATAATGATAATAGTAATGATAATAATGATTATAGTAATGATAATGATAATTATAGTAATTATGATAATAATTATAATAATGATAATAATAATGATGATGATGGTAATAATAATGATGACTATAATGATATTGAAAATGATTATGATAATAATAACAATAATTGTGGTGATAACAATATTAATCATTATGATATAGATATTATGGTAATAATAACAGTGATAATGATAACAGTAATGATGTTGATAATGACAATAATATAAACGACATTATCTTTATCCTTATCATTAATGCCATAATCATTTTTTTAATTGTTATTATCATTATCATTAACACTATTATCATTATGATCATTATTATTATAATTTCTCTCATTATTAACATCACTTATTTATCATCATTATTGCTATCTTCATTCTCATGATTATCATTATCATCATTATCATTATCATTATAATGTCATTACTGCTCTCGTTATTACTTTTAACGTAATCTATATTGGTATTGTCCTGATTTTAATTATTAGTTTTTTATTTCATCATTATAAAGCAATTCTAATGAAAAGACCAATTCATAATGAAGGAAGAGGCAGGGATGGGGGGGGGGAGCGCACAAATGAAAGGAGAGGAGGAGGAGGAGAAGGAGGAATGAAAGGAAGAAAATAATGAAGAGGAGAAGGAAGAGGATGGAGGAGGAGAAAGAGGAAATGGCAGAAGAAAGCGGAAAAGAAAAAACAAGAGAGAAAGAGAAAGCGTAGGAGCGAGGCGGAGAAAAAGGAGAAAGCGGAGAAGGAGGAAGAGAGAAAGTAAAGGAGGAAGAGAAAGGAAAGGGAAAAGAAAAAAAAGGAAGGCCGGTGGCGAGTCGAGAAAGAAGGAGTTTGCAAACAAGAGGGAGGTGGAAGAAGAAGAGAAACACAAGAAGAAACAGAAGGAATTTAGAGGAGAGGAAGAGAAAAGAACAAGAAAAAAAGAGAGAGAGTTAGAGGCTGAGGAAGAAAAGGCGAAGAAGAATAGATGAAAAAAAGAAGATAGAGTTAGAGGAGGAGAAAGAAGAAGAAAAAAGAAAATAGCCGAAGAAAAAAGACGAAAGAGGAGGAGGACAGAAGAAGAACATAGAAGAAAAAAGAGAGAGTTTAGACAAGAAGAGAAGAAATAGAGAAAAGACAAAAAGTTATAAGAGGAAGGAAGAGACTCAGACAACCCAACAGAGGCGAAGAACGAGGAGAGGAGAAGGAAGCGAGGAGAAGGAGGCACGAGGAGAAGAAAGGGGAAGGAGAAGGAAAAAAGGAGGAAAGAGGAGGAGGAGGAGAAGGAGGGGGATCAGGAGGAGGTATTATATTTAGGGGAGAGAAGTGAGAGGAGAGGGGAGGAGTGAAGTGAGAAAGATGGGAGGAAAGAGAAATGATGAGAAATGGAAGAGGACGGAGAGGAGGTACGGAGGAGATGGAGGAAGAACGGAGATAGGGACTGATTATAGAGAGGAGACAAAGGGGGTATAGAAGAAGGAAGGAGAAAGGAGGATACGGAGGATGGGAGGTAGAAGAAAGGAAGGGAGTAGGAGGAGAAAGAGGAGGTATGGGTAGATGCGAGAAAGAAGGAAGTGATGAGAGAATATGGAAGAAAGGGAGATAAAGGATGGGAATGGATGGAGGAGAAAAGAAAAAGGAAGGAGTGAGGAGAGATACACGGAGAAGGTAGAAAGGATGAGAAAAGTGAGGAAGGAGTAGGAGAGGAGGAAGGTAGGAGGAGAATAGGTAGAAGGAAGGAGGAGAAAAAGAGAATGGAGGAGGAAAGGGAGGAGGAAAGAAGGAGGGAGAAAGTGAGGAAGAAGATAGAAACGGGGAGGAGGAGGGAATGAGAAGGAGAGGAGGAGAGAAAGGAGGAATGGATAAAGGCACGAAAGTGGCAGTGAAGATAACTTACTGGATAGGAAGAGGAGGATCAGGAGGAGAAAGGGAGGAAGGTTATATGGGAGAGGAAGAAAGAGGAAAGGTGGGGATGAGTGAGGGGCATCAGGTTGGCTACGAACCACTCAGGCGGGTCCCAAATCCTGCGGATAAGTTGGCCCTGGGGGTTGCCAGATACCTCCAGCACCATCTCCGCCTGATCCATCACTGCTTTCCTGGGAAATTGTAAGTTCTTCGCTTTACGGAGTGCCGTGTGGGAAGCACGCCCCCCCCCTCTTCCCCTCTTCCTTCCCTTCCCCCTCTCTTCCTCCCTCCACTCTATCCTCCTTACTCCTCCGCCCACACTCCCTTAGACAGCCTACCCCCCCTCCCACCCGCCCCTTCCCGCCCATCTCCCTCATCAACACNCCATATACGCTGTGCCTCTTGTAAAATTGTACCTTAGTACCACACCCCTGTACCATATACACTGTACCTTGTATGATTATATCCTAGTACCACACTCTTGCACCACATACGCTTGTGCCTAGTATGACTGTAGCTTTGTACCACATTCCTGCACCATATACGCTGTACCTCGTAAAATTGTACCTTAATTCCACACTATTGTACCACATACGCTGTACCTTGTATAAGTATACCCGAATACCACACTCATGTGCCACATACGCTTGTACCTTGCATTATTGTACCTTATGTATAATTATTTATTGTTATTAAAATTGTACCTTAATTCCACACTCCTCTACCAAATACGTTGTACCTTGTATAATTTGTACCACCTTCCTGTTCCATATACGCTGTACCTCTTGTAAAACTGTACCTTAGTACCACACTCCTGTACCACGTTCGCTTGTAACTTGTATAATTTGTACCATAATCCTGTTCTATATACGCTGTACCTTGTATAGATGTACCCTAGTTCAGGAACCACAATGTTGTTTTCTACGTGTGCCAGTGCGTGTAATGTATAATCAATTGTTTGATTATGGTAAATAATGTTTGTGCTAATGATCGACCGTATTTACATAGTTAATTACAAAATAAGAACCTTTGGAGAACAGTTACCTTATGGTATGTGTGGTAATATTAGAACCGATGAATAAATTAATATTTTACGCTTTCGTTTTTTTTTTTGTTTTTTGTTTTTTTGTCTTTTTTTTTGAGATAGAGGGAGGGGATAGGGGAGGGGTTTTGGAATCTTCCCCTCCTCCACTCTCTCTCTCTCTCTCTCTCTCTCTCTCTCTCTCTCTCTCTCTCTCTCTCTCTCTCTCTCTCTCTCTCTCTCTCTCTCTCTCTCTCTCTCTCTCTCCATCACCTAATGAGTATTCGCTTCATTACTCATCTTATTACGATGCCCGCTGTTCGATGTCTGTTGTTCATTTGTTCATCGGTGGTCATTTGTTTATTTGTTCATGCGCGTGTACCTGTCGCTTTCATTCATTATGATCCCATCTTTGTTATCGTGAGAACGTGCTGAAATCAATTTTAATTAGGGTATTCATTCATCAAATTATTTCTCTGACTCACCTACCACCCCCTCCCCCTCACCCCTCTTCTTCCACTACCCCCTCCCCCCCTTACTCCCACCTGGACACGCCCAAACCCATTCACAAAATCAGGATAAGGAATTTCCTGACTTTTTTCCCACAATACACACTTTCTTCCCATTAAAACCATGATCATTCAACATTCAACGTCAACATTCTGAATAATACGCATACCGTTAGATACATAAGAAATAGATCTACATTGCACCATCTTCTGAAAACTGGCAACTTTATATTGATAAGGAAAATTAAGTGATAAGAAAACAGTGGAGGTATAGCGAGTTGGGCGTGAAGTCCCCAGAGGAATCAGTCGAGAAAATAACACCATTTCGACCACATACTTCGCCACATTCAACATACATCGAAAGGTAACTCTTTTTTCTCGAATTCGAACACCATACTAAAAGTGTGAGAACAAGAAGAAGGGGGAGGATAAGAGAAAATGTGGAGAGAGGAAGAAGATAACAAGATAAGAGCGGGCAAGGGCTGTTCTCGGCCATGCGTGTTGAGTCGAATTCTAAAGCTTTTGTGAAGGGTAAGGGTGATTGGGTTAGTTTATAAGGGTAAGGGGGGTTAGTATGGGGTAGGGGTGTGAAGAAGCACGTGAAGAAGAAAAAAATGGATAAAATTGGGCTGGATCATCGGTAGTGAAAATCTTGTCGAAAGTATGAGTCACTGGATGGTTAGGATTACCACGTGACTTTAGAAGGTATATTATATATATATATTATATATATATATATATATATATATATATATATATATATATATATATATATATATATGAAAATTATGACATGGCCAAGTATGAGTAATTGATTGTTATCACAGGATATTGTTGTTGTGGCTTTCTTTTTTTTTCCCCATTCTCCCTCGTCTTTTTTGTCCCTCTTTCTCTTTCACGTTCTCTCTCTCTCTCTCTCTCTCTCTCTCTCTCTCTCTCTCTCTCTCTCTCTCTCTCTCTCTCTCTCTCTCTCTCTCTCTCTCTCTCTCTCTCTCTCTCTCTCTCTTCTCTCCCACTCACCCTTTGCCCCTTTTCCCTCTCTACCCCCTACCCTCCTCCCTGTCTCCCTCTCTCTTCCTCCCTGCCTCCCTTCTTCCCTCTCCCTTCCTCTCTGCCTCCCTCTATTCCTCCCTTCCTTTGAAACCTACACAGTGAACATAACTGACACGTTATTGCAGCTGTTATCACCGTGTATCCGTAGAGTTAAGACCCCTTGTGAACATTATCAAACTACCCTTAATGGCCCTCGCCGTTTTAATAATTCAGGAACGATTACATATCCATGCAAATTCCTGATATGAATACGGTTAAGATATCATCATCAGCGTTCTGAACTGTGCCACATTCGCACACCGTTCTCTCCCCCCCCCCCATTCCCCCATTCTTCCTCTCCTTCCCTTCCCCCTCCCCCCTTCCACCAACCAATCGTCGTAATCTCTTAAAACAGATTTTTTTTTCTCATTTCTTTTTTATTTTCTTTACTTTACTTTTTCCTTTTTTCTCATTTGTTTTTTTTTCTCCCACAGATGGCGAGTGCCTGTGACGTCATAAGTGTCCCAGCTGTCATGGAAGGGATGATGACAGTCAAGACATGGTCAAGGGAATTGGGTTCCTCTTCTATGCTTGAGTTTACTATGGAGGTTTGCAGGTACGTCGGGTTGGGGGGTTTGGGGTTGGGGGTGTATTGACCATGGGAAGAGAGAGGGAGGGGAGGGTGGGGGGGAGGGGTTGTACTGATCATGGGAAGAGAGAGGAGAGGGAGTAGGTAGGGGAGGTGGGGAAATGGGAGGGTAAGGTAGGGAAAAGGGGAGAGAGAGAGGTAGGGAGGGGTAAGGTACGGAGAAAAGGGGTAAGAAATAGGGGAGGAGGAAGTGTGGGAAGTGGGAAAGAGAGGAGGGGGAGAGGAAGTTGAAGTGGGAGGAAGAGAAATAGGAGAGTGGGAAAGGAAGTGTGGAAGTGGAGAGAAAGGAGACAGAGAAAGAGAGAGGGGTGAGGGAGGAAGAGAAAGAGAAGAGAGAGAAGGGAGAGAGAGAGAGAGGAGAGAGAGAGAGAGAGAGAGAGAGAGAGAGAGAGAGAGAGAGAGATAGACAGAGAGAGAGAGAGAGAGACAGACAGACAGACAGACAGAGAAAGAGGAAGAGAGAGGGAGATAACAAGATTACAACCTGCTTCTTACGTGGTGCTTTACCAGACAACGCTCTCCCTATACCCAACCAACTAGACCACTGACAGAGGTTGACAGACACTAACGGCAGACAAATAACAGATTTTTTGTCAGAGAATGGCAGACTTTGGCAGATAGATAACAGACATTGACAGACAAATGGTAGACACTGACAGACAAGTGACAAACACTGACAGACAAGTGACAAACACGACAGACAAATGACAAACACGAATGACAAGTGACAAACACTGGCAGACAACTTACAGACATTAGCAGACAAGGGACAGATACGACAGACAAATGACAGACACTGGTAGACACATGACAGACAATGCCAGACAGATGACAGACACTAACAAACATACCCAGACACCCTCAAAATCACCAGACAACATACCACAGACACCATCTCATAAATAAAGAGACACCATAAAGTAACACCATCTCCTTATGGGAAGGCGGTAACGTAATATTACGGCCAAGTCTACAATTGCGTCTTATGTCTTACAGGAGAATACAAGAGGCCTGGGAAGACAACCAAAAAGTCTGTGACGAAACGGAAGACTTTGGAAAGGCTGATGTGTCACACTACAACAAGACGTGTGAATTAGTGTTTACGGAAAATGTCGTGACGTGAGTATTGTTGTTGTTGTTTTTCGTTCTTCTTTTGATGATAATGAGGAGGAAAATATATATATTTTTTATTACAATCATTATTATTATTATCATATATCATTATTATCATCATCATCGTCGTCATCATAATCATAATCATTACTGTTGTTTTTGTTGTTGTCATTATCATCATCATTATTATGCACATTTTCATACTTGTTTTGAACACATTACAAATGTTTATACCGCTTTCCTCATCCATGAATTCATTGACATTCCCATTACTTGCATTTAACTTGTTTATGTCATTCCGAAACGGTTAACTATTGGCATTCGTCCAGGAATTTGCAACCTTCTACCTAATAATTCTCTCTTTATTAAATTTTAATGAGCTGTAGCCCCCCCCCCCCACCACCACCACCACCACATGTCACCCCCCACCCCCACCCCCCACACACGTCACGTCTGACACCCGCGGCCCACACACTTTCTGTCATCAATTTTTCTATTTGATGTTTATTTGTGCTTATCTTCAAAGAGCTGAATTTTGCATCAACATGGGGAACTTTATCAATTCTCACTGCGCGGATGCCAGGACTCAAGATGTGACTCGGGGGAAGGCTAGGTCAGTAGCAACGCGAGGAGGTGTCATGGCGTCTGATTCTATGTTTGAAAAAATAAAATAAAATAAAATAAAAAAAAAAAATAAAAAAACATTTTTATGACGTCACAAAAGTTATGGGTGCTTTGAGAGTATGGTCGGTCATTTTGGTCTCTTCAGTTTTCAAATGGGATGGAAAATAATTATTTTAATGGGTTATATCTTCATTGAACAATCATCAAAATAGCCCTGTGCCGCTCGTCTCTCTCTCTCTCTCTCTCTCTCTCTCTCTCTCTCTCTCTCTCTCTCTCTCTCTCTCTCTCTCTCTCTCCTCTCTCTCTCTCCTCTCTCTCTCTCTCTCTCTCTCCTCTCTCTCCCTCTCCCTCTCCCTCTCCCTCTCCCTCTCCCTCTCCTCTCCTCTCCCTCTCCCTATCTCCCTCTCCCTCTCCCTCTCCCTCTCCCCTCTCCCTCTCCCTCTCCTCTCTCTCATTCCCACCTCCTACAATCCATTTCTTCCTACGAGATCCTCCCAGTACGAAACCTTCTTCCACGTGATTCTGTTGCCCATTATTTTCCTCATCCGACCCACGCCTTCGGAGCAAGCAGCGAGAGACGACGATTTCCAGGATTCTTCCCCCGGTTGCCTGGATCCGCGGGAGGAGGAAGGGAGTCGTTCGCTTCGGCCTCTCGTTTCCGCGCCCGTTGCCGCTTCTCGCGTTCGTTTCGCCCGGAAGGGAAGGGACGGTTGGCTCCTTAGGGCGGAGGTGTCTTCATGATCAGGGTGGGAATATCTTCTCAGTCGTCCCTATGATTTGGTTGGGGTGCTGTTGCCACGGAAGCTTCTCCCGTCGTGGTGTTAAGGGGAGGACACGTTAGCTGTGACCATGTCGCTGTAGGAATGATTTTTCTCCATGTTCAGCATGTCAAGGGAGAGAGCGAGAGAGAGAGGGGGGGGGGGGACACACAGAAGAGAGAGAGGAGGGGAGACACACAGAGAGAGAGGAGAGAGAGAGAGAGAGGGAGACACAGAGAGGGAGGGGACAGAGAGAGAGAGAGAAGAGAAAGAGAGAAGAGGAGACAGAGAGAGAGGATAGGGAGACACAGAAGAGAGATAGGGAGACACAGAGAGGGAGAGGGAGACACAGAGGGAGAGGGGAACACAGAGAGAGAGGAGGGAGGGAGACACAGAGGGAGAGGGAGACACAGAGAGAGAGAGCGAGAGAGAGAGAGAGAGAGAGAAAAGAGGAAGAGAGAGAGAAAGAGCAAGATAAAGAGAGAGAGGGAGACAGAGAGAGAGAGAGAGACAGACACAGAGAGAGAGAGAGACACAGAGAGAGAGAGGGGGAGACACAGAGAGAGAGAGAGAGAGAGAGAGGCGTCAGCATGCAGATCCCCGGCTCTTCTCCTCCAAATCAGCTGGACAATTCGCACGAGATTCGCCTCCTCTGGCTGGCGTTCGGAGAAAAAAAAAAAACCCAAGTCGGACGCTGCAAATTCAGGAACCTCAGCAGCGGCATTCCGTTTCGTGAGGGCGTCCGAGGTGTCATCCACATGGGCGCCTGACACACGCCTCTTGTCGGTTGCCTCGCGATCCGGAACAAGGTCTCTATAAGTGCCTTGATCCGGAACGCCCAACCCGGACGAGCCAGCGTGTGTGTGTGTGTGTGTGTGTGTGCGTGATCTCTTGGCTTCCATGATTTCGTCATCGCTTCAGAAATTCTGTATAACTCGTTTTACATTATCGAACGTGCGACAATTAGCATTTTGCATATATTAATCATTCGTTTACTATCATGATTGCATAGATAGAATAAATGACAAATAATATATGCCATTTATTACACTTCATAATCGTAGAAAAAAAACAGTATAAGCTGAGCAATTAATCTACTCTGTTTATGTGACGTACAGGCAGTGACGTTATCAATGACGTCATCCACGGGGCGACTATCTCAGCCCTGATTGATGACGTCATGGTGGGGAGGCCTCTTATCAAGTCTGACTCTTGCTTGATAAAGAGCCAAGTCAAATGCTTGATACCTGTAGCATAGTCATCATCAAAAATATTACCTGTACACTCTCAAATCGTTCATAGTATTATTGTATTGAACAGGGCTTAGTTAGTTAAATGGATAGAGTGTTGGCAGCGGGATTCGTTACACTTCCTCGCTTCGCCTTATTATCGTTAGTATTGTTATTATTGCTATTATTATCATTACTATTAACATCTTTGTTATTATTCTTGTTATCATCAACATTATCATTATTATCATAATGACTTATCATTATTATTACTATGATTATAATCATTATTATTAATTTCATTATTCATTATTAATCATCATTATCATATTCATTATATTCATTATTTATTATCATTATTTTATCATCATTATTGCCATTATTATTTTCATCATTATTATTTTTTTTATTATTATGATATTATCATAATTTTTATTTTTCATTATCATTATTATCATTATCATCATTATTATCATTATCATCATTGTTTTCATCATCATTATCATCATTATGATTATCATTATTACTATCATTATTATAAGCATTATTACTATTACTATAGTTATCATTATCACTATCATTATTGTTATTATTACTATCATTGTTATTATTATCATCATCATAATTATCATTCCATTGTCATTATCATTCTTATTATTCCATTGTTATTATCATTCTTATTATCATTATCACTATTATTATCATCATCATCATCATCATTATCATTATTATTATTGTCATAGTTATCATCAATGTTGCTGTTACCATAACTATTATCATTATTATCACTGTTATCATTATGTTTATTATAGTTATTATTATTATTAATAGCAGTAGTAGTAATACAGTTATGATTATTAGTATTACAATTGTTACCATCATTTTCATTACCATCACATATTATTATTGTTGTTGTTGTTAGTAGTAGTAGTATCATTATTACTATTATCATCATATTTTTATTACCGTTATCTCTATTGTTATTATCATTATCCTTATTTTCAGTACTATCATTGTCGGTATCATTATTATCATCATTAGTTATTATTATCATTGTCACTATTAATATCATTATCATTATTATTAGTTATTATTATTATCATTATTTCTATTATCATTATCACTATTATTACTATTATCACTATTATCATTATTATTATTATTATTATTATTATCATTATTATCATTATCATTATCAACCTTATCATGATAATACCGTTGTTGTTATCGTTATTTTTGTTGGTGTTGTTATTCTTATTTTTATTACTATCAATATTGTCATTATTACTATTTAACATTAGCATAATTATCATGACTAATTATCATCATTACTGTTATCACTGTTGTTGTTATTATTGGTAATATTGTTGTTACAGTTGAAAGAAGACGCACAAAATAGTTATAATAGTGTATTCACCTTATGTTATGTGAACGGAGGGTAGAAGTATGTGAACACCTTTGAGAACTATAACATTCACTTATGATTCATAATTCTTGACCGATTTACTTATAATACATAATTTTTGAGTTCGATTTGCTTATAATTCATAAATCTTGTAGTGATTTACTTATATTTCATAATTTTTGAGTTACTTAAATTCATAATTCTTTACTGATTTACTTAAAATTCATAAATTTTTGAGTTCTATTTACTTATAATACACAATTCTTGAGTTCGATTTGCTTATAATTCATAAATCTTGTGTTCGATTTACTTATAACTCCTAATACTTGTGTTCGGTTTACTTATAATTCATAAATCTTGTGTTCAACTTACTTATAATTCATAATTCTTGCGTTCTATTTACTTACAATTCATAATCGTTGAGTCCTAGCTTTAAACATCAAATATTAATTAACTAATTATCTTCATTAAATAATAATCAGGTCTTGAGGGTAAAAATAAAAGTTTTGATCCAATTTTGACCACCGTATCAAAAAAAAATAATAATAATAATGACCATTATACCAAGGTGATGTAACAAGATTATTAATTCATTTTGAAATGCTTATTCATTCATTTTATCATGCACGTCTATTTATAAATCTAATAACGTTTTATCAAAGGATGCTAAATCAGTCCGTTTTATGTAAGGAAGGATAATCAACTCTGCTTCAGAATGTTATGTATTCTCTGTCATCCTTTTGTGTGTGTGTGCGTGTGTGTGTGTGTGTGTGTGTGTGTGTGTGTGTGTGTGTTGCGTGTGTGTGTGTGTGTGTGTGTGTGCGTGCGCGTGTGTGCGTGTGTGTGTGTGTGTGTGTGTGTGTGTGTGTGTGTGTGTGTGTGTGTGTGTGTGTGTGTGTAAAAAAAATGGACATGAAAATAGCAAGAACC